ACGCACACAGAGAGAGACAGAGAGGGAGAAAGCGGAGACAGAGACAGAGAGTGGGGGGAGGGAGAGGGAAAGAGTACGTTAAAGGAAAAAAGGAGATAGTTATTAAGTCCATCAGCTCACCTCCTTTGGGGTTCCACAGCCCACTCGCTGTCCCATTGCCAACCTGTGGGTAGCTGGAACGTGTCTTTGGGGAGGCTGACCTGTCCAGTCACATCTGAAAAGTTGGGGTGCGGCATAAGATCCATGACTCCCCATATTCCGTGTGTCTTCTTTTGGTTTTCATACTGAAAACACCAGAACACAAACCCTCATCCATGAGCCAACCCTGGGATGTCTTTCTAGCTTACTCTTTTACACCTTTGGGACCCTTCCCTTAAATGTTGCCCTATGACAGGAGCTCCGGAGGCATGTCTTCCCCATAGCTGCCCCGTCATTCTGGAACATCCCTTTCTCCAAGATTTGGGGGGGCCCTTGTCCTCTTACCTAGGATGAAAAAGGAGCCCAACAATTATGGTGAGATATTATGGGGCCGTGATGTCTCATTTGGGGGTTTTGTGGGCATGTATAGATAGTCCTTGATTTATGACTATAATTGGACAGGAACTTTTGTCACAGTGATGCTAAGAGCTACTGAGATTTTCACCCTGGAATTGTCCTGGCTCATCTCACCGTTTCTGCGTAGACCGCGATCCTCCCTTCGCAACATCTCATGAAGTCTGCGCAGTCAGCCATCCGCCCCATCCACATTCGAACCCGGAGCACGGCAGGGATGGGGTCATAATTCATTTTGCTTTGCATACCCTGGGAGGTGGGTGGGTGAGAACGAAAGTGTCAGGCCCTTCAACATTCATTTTGTTAATTATTAGGGTTGCAAATAGTAATAGCCCTTAGACTTATATACTGCTTCACAGTGCTTTCCAGCCCTCTCTAAGCGGTTTACAGAGTCAACCTCTTCCCCCCCACAACAATCTGGGTCCTCATTTGATGCACCTTGGAAGGACAGAAAGATGAGGGAGGAAGGAAAGGAGGGAGGAAAAAAGGAAAGGAAGGAGGAAGGGAGGAAGGAAGAGCAATAGCACTTAGACTTATATAGTACTTCACAGTGCTTTTACAGCCCTCTCTAAGCAGTTTACAGAGTTAAGAGTCAGCCTCTTGCCCCCAACAATCTGGCTTCTCCTTTTCCCCACCTCTGAAGGATGGAAGGCTGAGTCAACCTTGAGCTGGTCAGGATCGAACTGTTGGCAATCAGCAGAGTTAGCCTACAACAGTGTAACTACTGTGCCAACACAGCTTCCTTCCTTCCTTCTGCTCATTTTCCTCCCTCCCTCCCATCTTTTCCCTTTTCCCTCCCTCTCTTCCCCCTTCCTTCCTCTCTTCCTTAGCAATAGCACTTAGACTTATATGCCGCTCCACAGGCAGAGAATCGGTTGCTAAAATTTTTGAAGCCCACCCCTGCAGAAATGCTCTAGCAAATCCTGCACTGAGCAGGTGCTGGGACTAGAAGATCTCTAAGAACCCTTCCCTCTCTATGGTTCAACAATTCTAGGAAAGATGGAAGGGCTTGTCAAGGGCTTGTCAAGAACCAGAGAACCGGAAGGCATCAATTCCTAGGTTTCTTGGAGCAAAAATGACCAGAACCAAATGCATCTTGTTACCTTTAGGAAAAGGGTATGAGTTTTGCCACAAAGCCTGCCTTTGGCATAGGGGCCGTCTTTGGAGAACATTATGGACTGGGACTTCACCCGCACATAGGCCACACGTTGGTCATCCAACAGCATCCAGATCATCACATCGGGGATACTTATTTGAGTCTGAAAAGAGCAGAAGGGAAGAGAGGCAGCCATGACTTCTTGGTCTCACTGATGCTTTTCTTGATAATCCTGATGCTTTCTGGAGTGTTAAGAAGACTAACAGAATAACAGAGTTAGAAGGGACTTTGGAGGTCATCCATCCGCACGAGAGCTTTGGCCTTTGCATCCCGACTTTGCATTAGGATGGGGCAATGCTACTTTTGTCTGTAGAGATCCTCAGTCATCCTAGTCCTGGTTGCCCCAAAGATGTTTTTTTTTTCAGGAGGCAACTGGACTTTCTTGATTTTTCTTTTGAAGACGTTTAATTTCTAAAGAAGGTTCTTGGATGAGAAGCGAGGCATTTTCAAAAGAGAAAAACAGAAATGATACATTGCATGATCTCCTGGGATGTTGCATCATCCAGGCTTCAACCAAACTTAGCTCAGACAACCTACAGAGCCAGCTATGACCTCTACAACAGCCAATAGAATACACGTCCTTGTGCAGGAACAGGAAGTTCAAGTGCAAAGCCCAAGAGAAGGTATAAACAATAGAATACA